CACTGTAAATAACCATAGTAATATATGCCATAAAACAATCTCATCATTTGTATGACATACACACATGGAATCTTTGCTTCAAACAGTGCGCCCATAGAGATGTCCAAACACACTAATTGAATGACATTTAAAAAAAAGAACATGAAGGTTGGGTTTTACTGGCAAAACGTGCTTATTCCCAAACAGTGTTCTGTTTGACAATGGGGCCTAATTGCATTGATGGTTGGTGACCCATCTATGTTCCTACGTTCCATGTTGTCTGTGATGTTAAATTTGCTTTTTTTGCTGCCCTTTTAGGTACAGTTTTTGCTGCTGGGTGTTTATTGTTTTATTGTATTTTGTTACCTCTGGTACAACAATTCCTTCGGGATTGCAATAAAGTCCTTAACTTATCTTATTGTGCAACTTACCTCTTTTCTACTCACTAAAGGCACTCTTTTGGGTTTTCTGTAATCAGACTCTTCAAAAGGGACTGTAATTTTAGCTAATAAAGCTTTTCTGGGAAGAAGAGCAGAAGTAGCTGAGGAAAGAATTCTCCATTACTCAATGTGTTTTGCCTAAAACTGCAGGCCCCATTCAAAGGGTGGAGCCTGGGGAAGGGGAGATCAAAAGAAGGGCTGGCTCAAAAGACGGAGCATGCTGAGATCCGTTCTGCAGTCGAGGAACATTGGAGGGAGAGGCAGAGGGGAGAAAAGGGAACGTTCCCCCTGACCACTCATTGGAACAAGTAGAAGACGCCTTATGTTCATAGACCGAGGGTGAATGTTTAGGTGAACCAGTTTAGAGTAAATGTTTATGTGATAAACAATGCAATGTGCTCCTTCAAACTGCTACAGCACTTCACCATACTAGCAGATCCCCGCTGAAGCTAAAACTGCAGAAGCGGTAGTAGATAAACTGCTCTGCATGCAACCTATTTAAAACGTAGTCACACTTGTTTGCTCAGGGTTTATTCTGGACTTTTGTACTGTAACCCTTTTTTTGTGTCCATAGATCCATAGCAAACAAAATCACTATAAAAATGAAATACTAACTGTGATAGAAGGACCATAGCAGGTCGTTACCGCTGAAATGTCTTCCTTGAATCATGATTTTACTATATTTATTATTGAATGCTTTGTCTTCTGATTTTACTTAAAAACCTTTGCAAAGCGTGAAAGGAAGCAGCTGGACATAGCTTGTCAACTTTTTTATAGATATTGATCTTTTTCTCCAAAATACAAAAACAAAGACATGTTGTTGGCAGTTTACACAAAGGGGGAATCAAAAACGCTTCCTTCAAAGCCGCTGTGCTTCCGGTTTGCACTGGTCTCTCAGAGAGCAGCCATACAGAATATACTATACGCAGCACTAGGGTAGTATATCCCTCAAAGAAATGAGCGAGAACTGGCAAGTGGGAAACAAGCAAACAGAGCAGCCATCAACTTACAGAACTAACACCAGCGTCAGGCTCTCAGGTTTCACAGTTTTGGGGATGGGTATCCAATTCTCCATCATGGTTGGTGTAATTGTTTATGTATGCCTCCTCAATGGTTCTAGTATATCTTGTAGTAATGAGGCACGAGCCTAGACGCCAACTAAAATGCTATGCTCTGACTACTCTCTCGAAACAGTGAGTTTTCTGCTGAAACTGGGCGACGCTGCGAGCGCTCAGGCTCAACTCGCCCAATTGAATAGATAAACAACGTGACGCGGCTCGTCTCTTACAACCAACCGAAACAACATTCTCCTAAACATGCGCTCGATTTAAGCCGCCAGATTCTGCCTGCCTCTGCCCTTGCTAATGCTTTGCTGCTGCTACGCCTGCTATCATGTTGTACTGCTCGCCTGCCCCAGCTTCACCGTTGTAAATCGGGAATAGTTTCTATTCATGCACTCAATTCACTATGAGAATCTGTGGCATGATGAGGCCGAGCCTAATTTTGATAGCCAAAACTTAAACTATGGTTGCTTTTTAATAAACATACAAGAAACACACAAGTTGTGGTGACGGAATTAAATTTAAGACAAAATTGACCCCAATGCTGTAAGTATAAACTGGATATGACAATATATTCGTGGAAAGTAATGACCGAACGTAAAGATAGTATAAAACCAAAAAGCTTAAAATGAACTAATCTGCTTCTGTAGCTGGCCATGCTCTGTGGATAAAGCGTGGACCACGAAGGCAGGTGCCACTGCTCCAGATGTTGAACGATGTAGAACGCAAAGTGGGGGAAACTGTTCTTGATGCTGAGTGGCGGCTTGAAGGGGTTTCGCTGCTGAACCAGCTGCATGCTTCAGCAGTTTACCACATCAGCCTGCAGCTGGGAGTCTGTTACTGCCAGGTTCTTTGAGCCTGAGCTCTCCTGCTGGTCCTGAGCACACTGCCGATAATGCCAATCAATACAACATACATATATTTGGATTAGACTGTGGGCTGGTCACAATTTCTTGTTCAACTTGGTTGTTTTTCATGTCCATAAATCCTGTCTATTTGTTTTCACAATACATTACATTTAATGAATGTCAGTTGTAAATGTAACATTGGATTTGATATGCAAACAAATGAAGGCATACACTGTCATGAATTGCACTATTAAATGTTTATTCATAAAAAATTTTCGTACAATTGCGCACCTTGAACACATACAATAACAAATGGACACATAACATAATTTTCTTCCCAATCATGAACAGTTCTTTGAATTCAACATTAGCTATATTTAAGAATGTGCACACATATGCACAGGTAAATTTAGTTGACACATATAAGTAGGTTGTAAATATTTTGCATAACTTCAGTTGTCCTTATCATTAGTTTGTGCTTATGTCGTCTCAAGAGTGATAATTTAACAATATTTCACATTACTACATTGGTGCTGTGTACCTGTTCGTCTTGACACACACACATCCAAGTAATTTTTGGTCATAGTAAAGCCACTATCAACAAATATCTTATGAATACGCTTTTTCAAGACACATAAACTTGAAAATCTCTACTGGCAGTATTTGAGAAAACACACAAATACATGTTTCTTTAAAACACATACAACACTATACTATTTATTCTATACACAAAACTATGTGAGCAGGGCTGGCATCACAACACAACACACACAACATCACCTGAGAAACATGCGTACTTATTACCGTTTTTCTTCTTGTGAAGTAGTTAAGGACTTCCTCTAATTTCCCGTGCGCTGCAGCTGGTGCAAATCGCAACACCATTTAAAGACGGACCTATCATGCAACAATGCCACTTTTGTACACTTTCTTACACCTTGTCATGTGTCCGGTGTGTCAGGGAATCCCAAGTGTCAGAAACCACAAACCCACCTCTCTCATCCCTCCTACAAAATCATCCTATAAACTGCGGGCATGCACGCGACTCTGATCACGACCTCGACTACAGATATCCGCGAAACTGTTCTGACAACGTCAAACGGGGAGCATCCGCCTATACGGGCACATCTCCACCCTATCAAGGAAGAGGGTTGCATGGCAAATGGTCAGGCATACGGTACAGCATGAGTAACAGCATGGTACAGTTGAGATACAGCACGGTCAAAGCGCCGTGGCATGGTAACATGACGATCGTGCCTCGCCCCCTCCTTTGCAGGGGGGCGTGGTCAGCTGCAGCTCATTTGCCACAGAATCAGCCCTTGCAAAAACAGGGCTGGAATACAGCAAATAGAGCGAAATGAGGCATGGCTAAAATGCATGATCTGTTTGGTATTTTGAAAAAAAAACTTCACAGACATGTTTTATATAGGTATGGCCCTACAATATATTATTCAAATATAGCATGATAGGTCCACTTTAAAGCACAGTTATAGCTGCTACAAGTTGTATCTTTTCAGGAAAGAAAACTGAATAAGCCTTGTGACCTCTTGTGATTCTTTAGCG